GGTCATTTATAAGACCCATCCCACATGGAAGTACATTTACATCCGTCTGTATGTTGATTAATGTACGCTGTCCTTTTCAAATCAATCAATATACTGTTTCAACACATAGTTATATCACATGTATTTTTAAATTTGATTTGGTAACACTGATGTGTCTCACCTTGGACAGCCATCAGACTCTCGGCTGATTCTCTTCCTCCAGAGGTACACTTGTAGAATCCTTCATCACGTTTGGAAACACTGGGGATGCTCATGTTTCCTGCAGAGCTTGTTCTGATAAGGCGGCCATCTTTGTAGAAATCAGCTGAGAGATTGGTAGAGGTCGTCTTGCGTCTGCAGCGCAGAGTCACAGCCCTCTCCCTCCACCACACTGATGGGACTCTCCAGGATCACATCACCAGCTGAACAACATGGGGTTCATATTTAATATCAAACAAAGATGAGTGCATGTAAAGATCTCGTCTTAATGCAAACATACCAGTAACATTGATGTGGATGATGTTGCTTCTCTTCCCATCTCCGGACTCGCACCAGTATTGCCCACTGTCCCATGGAAAAATATTAGGAATAGTGCAGGATGACCTTTTTGATGTCACTGTAGTGTTACATTTGAGTAATTCCCCTTTTGACCGATGTACAATTTTCAATCCAGTTGAGTCATGAGAGCCCTCACAATGGAAGATCAGAGACTCGTATTCAAAGAACTGCAGTCTGTTTGGTTCAAGACGGAGAATCAGTGAATCTGAAACAAACCATAGAAAGATATGTTTTCTTTTGTCATACAAAATACCAAAATTTGATCAATAACTTTGAGAAACTTAACGGTACATACCCACATCTTGAACATGTGCACCAAGCAGGAATAACACACAGATCACTGGAAAGAAGAAGAGTTGTACGTTAGATCTCATAAAAACAGGTACAGAAATATCTGTGAAACAGATAAAGAATCATACTCACACAGCCTGAGGTTAAGAGCACAGACCTCCATGTTGACTCTCTGAACATATGACTGAAGTGTCCACGAGGTGAGGATTTTTGCTTCTAATGCGATACATGGTTTGTGGTTAGGGTTGAAAATATTTCCCCACAGACCCCTCCTTATGTGTCGCCTCCGCCTCTTCTGGCTGAGAACGCCAGCGCCATTTTCAACTTTTCATCAGACCAGAATAGTTAAACAGAACTTATTACGTGAATGGTTGGTTATAACAACCTTTTTAATCTATAACTGTATTTGACAAATATCTGCTGTGAAAAAACAAAACAAGAACAAAGCAAAAACCACTGAACATTTTTAAACCAGGAAGTGGCGTTATTGTTTCATTTAATACAGTTAACAGACATAGAACAGGGCGTCATCTGCATATTGATGAATAATAAATCACACACATTAGAGGTAGCAGGATTTAGGAAAATTTTAACAAATAGGATTCAAACCTAAGCCTCGTAGAACCCAGAATAACAGGATAGCAAGAGGTCAGAAAGGTTAACGTAAAGAATTCCTTTCATTTAATCAAATTAGTCAAATACTTTAGAAAATGTGCTAAATAAGGTGAAACGTTTCAAGCTTAAACAAGGAGGCTATAACCGTAGCTTAGAATGAACTTCACTTTGGGTGACCCAAGTGACACTCAACAACTGGGTGAGACTTATTGTAATAAAAACATAAACTAAATGGTGCCTGATGTTCAAGTGTTCTAGTAAGTATTTTGGCAACACTGTGAGATAATTCAATCTATACTCAAAACAGAGCAAGGAGTGTCCAGAGTAATGACGGCAACTGTTCGCTCAGCTTGTACCAACCGACCTTTGACACAGGAACCCCTCTATTCTTTGATCAAGTAGGTAAGACTCAGGACATTACTGACATTCATATCTGGTAGGATGGACAGCAGAGGTTAGAACATGACCCATATTTACAGCTTTCAAATGTCTATGTCACTGGCCGTTGATGTTCAACCAAAGCACCACTTAAGGCAGCATTTCCTATATGCTTCGGTTCAAACTTTAGCTGTCATGCTTCTCAGAGTGATACGACCCGTGTTTTTTTATATCAATGCGGTATGCTCAGAGCTGGTAACCCTTTCTGTCTTCAGGTCGCAGTGTGATGGCTGACTGAAGGACGAGCAGGACATGAGATGTTTGGTTGAACCTGATGTGTGAAAAAACACTTTTTATTTTATTTTGCATTGCAGAAATGGTTTTCATGCTTTGCGCCCTACATGTGTTGATGTTTAAAGATATATTAAAGAGATGTGGTTTGTATTTTCAGATGTATTATCTGTTATTATTTAGTGACAGTTAAACCCACATGTTCCATCTGCTGTGTGTATTTACGTGAGTGTGAAACTGTGGTCAACCACCACCTTGATGCTGCAGCTTCACTTTCATCTGAAGCACGCTGACCGAGTCCAAATAAAAAAATGAGTCTGACACTTTAAGTCTAACGTGGTTGTAAATGTCATACATGAGAAGACAGAAAATAACTGTGCCATTAAAGAAGTGTACTGGTGTTTATTCTTTCATGCAAACAGTATTTTCTCAGGGTCTTCTTATCAGCAATCCCGATTCATATTTAACATGTTCAACAAAAACGTCTTTTTGAGTGGACAGTAACGGTAGTAGCTCTCAAATGCTTTGAGCTGAATGCGATTACAATGCAAGCTAATATGTTCAAAATTACCATGCTAACATGCTAACGCTAATTAGATAAAATATTTCACTGACTCTACGAAAAGAAGAGTTTCACCATCTGGGGACTGAATGTCTGAACAGAATCTGAAGTAAACCCTGGACCTTCGAGAAAAGAGTTCTTGATTCTGATTGGCTGGCAGCGGTACATTCTCTCTCTTTCTTTCACACAAACATGACTCAGGTACGTAGAGTTCTAGAAGAGTTCACAAGTGTGAAGGGTTTGAAGGTGGCAGGTTTTTGACTTTTTGTCACAGAAAACAAAGAAAAAGCTTTGAATGAATTAAAAATGAGATCTTCTTTATGGGTTCTCACTGTGAATAAAACGGTTGTTTTAACCTTTAATTTGTATCCACCATTGGACTCAGAACAATATTTAGCATGTGTTTTCCTTGTGAACATTACTTTGTCTACCAAACAAGGTGTTGGAAATAGATTGGTCACCTTGCTTTGTGTAGCCACGACCATTTTCAGTCACCAACGCCATTTTGGAATTTCTACCTCCAACATAAAGAAATCTGAGACACTATTCCTGAACAAACCTAATTTAGTATAGCTGGTAATTAATGGGTTAATGTTGGTACAACACTAACAATGAGTTCCCCCTGCTGTACAACGACCACACTGCATGAAAAGAAGACACAAAAAAATCTTTCATCACATATCTTTAATAAAAATGTGAACTGTTGTTACAGAGAGACAGACATATTCTGCATTGCTGTTGATATAAAAACATCCAGTGGAATATTACAATTGAAATTTTCATGTTACCATCACAAATGTTCGTATTATAGGTCGATATTTTATGCAGATATGAGCCGGAAGTGAAGCTCTGAGCCCGTTATAGCTGCTTCATCCGGGCTGCTGGTCTCACCACAGTGATCTAACCTCACCCTTAGAACGTCGATTAGCTGACGCCCACATCCTCGCAATGTTTCTTCAATCAACTCATTGATTAAAAACAAATGCACGTTGGCCATGAGGGGGAGGAGCAGCACAAATTCCAACATATTGTTGGTTAAAGACAATTACAAAGTTGGCTTACTATCAGCTGTCGAATATATCAAGCAGGACTTGAAAAACGCTGAAAGTCGTCCATATTGAAACTTTAAACTGTGTGGATGTTTCTATTGCAGGTTGTTTCCAGCTCACAGCAGCAACACCTGACCATCAAATGATTAAAGTGACGGAAGGATGAGGGCTTATCGTTTCAGCTCTGACACTGCCTTGCAGGTGTGTCTGCAGATATCTTGTGTTTATATTTTTAACAGCTGACCCTTTTATTTCAAACTGTCTGACTTTACGTGTTTGTATCAATGTTTTCACATCATAGCAGTCCGCTTCGTTCTTTGGCTCCGCCCAATGACGCTAATCTATCAACTGAGGTGTTACCACCACCACAGCAGCTCAGTCAGTGTGAACGTTGTTTTGAAAAAAATCCAAGTGTCAAACTTAGGGTAACATGAGCAGCATAAATAGACCACACAGGAAGAAGCCCCTCCTCAGTTACACTTCAGTTCAGCTTGGTGTTCAGACAGTCAACATGGAGGTCGGCGCGCTCTGCATCAAACTCTGTGAGTACGATTGGTTAAAACTAAAGAGTGTAGTCGTTCAAGGTTAGGATGGAAATGATGGTTTAATGCAGAGGATGCTCTTGGGGCTTGGAAAGACTTTCAGGTTCAAAATATTTATATGAGGTTTTTGGCCTGAAAGATAAAAATGTAAAAGTCAAACATCAAAGGCAGCTTTAGGAGCTGTAAGAATCAGTTGAATATACGACTGTTAAAACACGTCTCACTCAATGTGGAGCTCTTCTCTTTTGTTATTCCAGTGGTCCACGTGTTAATCCTGCTGTGTGCACATGTTCAAGACATTGGTAAGTACCAGGTTGGTGCTTAGTTGTATTTTAACTTCAGTTGGAACTTTCTGGTGAAATAAGAGAACATGTCTTTCTTTGGTTTGTTTCAGATTCACTGATTCTCCGTCTTGAACCAAACAGACTGCAGTTCTTTGAATACGAGTCTCTAATCTTCCATTGTGAGGGCTCTGATGACTCGACTGGATTGAAAATTTTACATCGGTCCAAAGGGGAATTACTCAAATGTAGAACTACAGTGACATCAAAAAGGTCATCCTGCACTATTCCTACTATTTTTCCAGAGGACAGTGGGCAATACTGGTGTGAGTCCGGAGATGGGAAGAGAAGTGACATCATCCACATCAATGTTACTGGTATGTTTGTATTAAGACGAGATCTTTACATGCACTCATCTTTGTGTGATATAAAATATGAACCCCATGTTGTTTAGATGGTCCTGTGATCCTGGAGAGTCCCATCAGTGTGGTGGAGGGAGAGACTGTGACTCTGCGCTGCAGACACAAGGCAACCTCTACCAATCTCTCAGCTGATTTCTACAAAGATAGCCACCTTATCAGAACAAGCTCTACAGGAAACCTGAGCATCCCCAGTGTTTCCAAACGTGATGAAGGATTCTACAAGTGTATCTCTGGAGGAAGAGAATCAGCCGAGAGTCTGATGGCTGTCCAAGGTGAGACACATCAGTGTTACCAAATCAAATTTAAAAATACATGTGATATAACTATGTGTTGAAACAGTATATTGATTGATTTGAAAAGGACAGCGTACATTAATCAACATACAGACGGATGTAAATGTACTTCCATGTGAGATGGGTCTTATAAATGACCTGACACGAAAATAAAATATTAATTTATTCATGTACCCAAGTTAGCCAAAGGCTAATTTTTGGCTCACATCCTCTTCATCCCTTTGTAGTTTACCCAGTGAATCTGTGGTCTCATATTGACAATGATTCAAGAGAATTATGCTCGAACTTTACATCAATGTTACTGGTATGTTTGCATTAAGACGAGATCTTTACATGCACTCATCTTTGTGTGATATAAAATATGAACCACATGTTGTTCAGTTGATCCTGTGATCCTGGAGAGTCCCATCAGTGTGGTGGAGGGAGAGACTGTGACTCTGCGCTGCAGACGCAAGACGACCTCATCCAATCTCTCAGCTGATTTCTACAAAGATGGCCACCTTATCAGAACAAGCTCTACAGGAAACATGAGCATCCCCAGTGTTTCCAAACATGATGAAGGATTCTACAAGTGTATCTCTGGAGGAAGAGAATCAGCCGAGAGTCTGATGGCTGTCCAAGGTGAGACACATCAGTGTTACCAAATCAAATTTAAAAATATATGTGATATAACTATGTGTTGAAACAGTATCTTGATTGATTTGAAAAGGACAGTGTACATTAATCAACATACAGATGGATGTAAATGTAATTCCATGTGAGATGGGTCTTATAAATGACCTGACACAAAAATAAAATATTTATTTATTTATGTACCCAAGTTAGCCAAATGCTAATTTTTGGCTCACATCCTCTTCATCCCTTTGTAGTTTACCCAGTGAATCTGTGGTCTCATATTGACAATGATTCAAGAGAATTATGCTCGAACTTTACATCACTGTTACTGGTATGTTTGCATGAAGACGAGATCTTTACATGCACTCATCTTTGTGTGATATAAAATATGAACCCCATGTTGTTTAGATGGTCCTGTGATCCTGGAGAGTCCCATCAGTGTGGTGGAGGGAGAGACTGTGACTCTGCGCTGCAGACGCAAGACGACCTCATCCAATCTCTCAGCTGATTTCTACAAAGATGGCCACCTTATCAGAACAAGCTCTGCAGGAAACATGAGCATCCCCAGTGTTTCCAAACGTGATGAAGGATTCTACAAGTGTATCTCTGGAGGAAGAGAATCAGCCGAAAGTCTGATGGCTGTCCAAGGTGAGACACATCAGTGTTACCAAATCAAATTTAAAAATACATGTGATATAACTATGTGTTGAAACAGTATATTGATTGATTTGAAAAGGACAGCGTACATGAATCAACATACAGACGGATGTAAATGTACTTCCATGTGAGATGGGTCTTATAAATGACCTGACACGAAAATAAAATATTAATTTATTTATGTACCCAAGTTAGCAGAAGGCTAATTTTTGGATTACATCCTCTTCATCCCTTTGTAGGTTACCCAGTGAATCTGTGGTCTCATACAGACAATGATTCAAGAGTTTTAACAAACTTTTATTGTGCACGATTAAACTGCATACTTTACATTAATAGCAAAAGTTGAAACGTTCAGGTTTAAAATCTTAATTTTTCTTCTAATCTTTCAATCCAATCCAAACCTAAAATCCTCTGTCATTGTTCTTCATTACTTTGTGATTACATTCCAGACAACCAGGGAGAGAATGTCTCATCCTTTTCCACCCCTTGGATAGTTACGACTGTTTTATCGATTCTGTTGTTGCTGGTTGGACTTCTTCATTTCGGCAAATATATTCAGAACAAAGGTACAAACACATTTCACTAACAAGAGGCACTTATAGTGATTGATGGGTCACAGTCCCCTTGGAATATTTGCATTTTACATTTGTTGAATGTATTTAATGGATGAATGGGCCAGTTAATAACGGTGGGGTCTTGAACACAGTTTATGGATTCTAAAGGCCCTGACACACCAAGGAGATCGTCGGCCGTCAGTCCTAGTTGCAAATTGCACATTTTTAAACCAGGAAGTGCCATTATATTTTTATTATGTCTCAATGTCTTCCTGGTTCCCTGTTCATAGTGTTTTTTTCATTTCATGCACTGCAGTGTTGCTGTACTTGTCCACACTGTCCTCATTAGAAAAAGACAAATTATTTAATCACATTAATTTAAAGCTCATGTTCTTTGGAGAAAGAGAAAATGTTCAGTTTGTGGATATGATTGCTCGAAGGCCTGTGTAATGTATCGATGTGGATTCTTATCACACATTTGTATTTTCAGTCACTGTTGAGGCCCGTCGAGTGGCAGCAGATGCACCAAGCGACCAAGCGATGTATGCTGCGATTACAAAAGACAGGACAAAGAGAGGTACCTCATCTGACAGTATATCCTGTCACAGTTCATTTCACAGTCACGATTCTCCATCCTATGTCTTGATCTTAAACTCCTTTCTTCTTGAACCTGGGGTAGTTTAACAACATTAAATGACTGCTTCATGAGTCTGTATCTCAAGGCCTTGAAATGGACAAAAATAATGTTTTGATATCCTTTATTAATCCCTGAGGGAAATACAACATACCTACGATACATACATGGTCTAAAATGATGTTGAATACTTTAAGTAGTGTTATTTTATCTCTTTGGTAAAGTCATAATGGTAAAGTTCTTCACTGAGAAACAAAAACAGCTCATTTCTATATGAGAATTAAAGTAGTCATCAAGGTGAATTCAGCTGCAGACATATTCTCCGATAAAGTCTACAGAGAAGTGAAAAGTACACTTCAGGTTCAAACACTGAGAATATGCATAACATAGCACTTTGTAAACTACAAATAAAGTTATCATTATTGATTATTGTTACTTAAAAAGTCAATTATTCTAGCTTGGATTTAATGCCTAATGATTTAATACAGTTAACAGACATAGAACAGGGCGTCATCTGCATATTGATGAATAATAAATCACACACATTAGAGGAAGCAGGATTTAGGAAAGTTTTAACAAATAGGATTCAAACCTAAGCCTCCAAGAACCCAAAATAACAGGATAGCAAAAGATCAGAAAAGTTAAAGCAACGAATTCCTTTCATTTCATTAAAATAGTCAAATACTGTGCTAAATAAGGTGAAACGTTTCAAGCTTAAACAAAGGAGTCATAACCGTAGCTTAGAATAACTCCACTTTGGGTGACCCAAGTGACACTCAACAACTGGGTGAGACTTATTGTAATAAAAACGTAAACTAAATGGTGCCTGATGTTCAAGTGTTCTACTAAGTATTTTGGCAACACTGTGAGATAATTCAATCTATACTCAAAACAGAGCAAGGAGTATCCAGAACCATGACGGCGACAGTTCACTCAGCTGGTACCAACCGACCTTTGACACAGGAACCCCTCTATTCTTTGATCCAGTAGGTAAGACTCAGGACATTACTGACATTCATATCTGCTAGGATGGACAGCAGAACTTAAAACATGACCCATATTTACAGCTTTCAAACGTTTATGTCACTGGACGTTGATGATCAACCAAAGCACCACTTAAGGCAACATTTCCTACATGGTTCCGTTCAAACTTTAGCTGTCATGCTTCTCAGAATGATACGACCCATGTTTCATATAAATGTGGTATGCTCAGAACTGTTAACCCTTTCTGTCTTCAGGTCGCAACGTGACGGCTGAATGAAGGACGAGCAGCACATGAGACGTTTGGTTGAACCTGATGTGTGAAAAAACACTTTTTATTTTATTTTACATTGTAGAAATGGTTTTCATGCTTTGCGCCCTACATGTGTTGATGTTTAAAGATATTTTAAAGAGATGTGGTTTGTATTTTCAGATGTATTATCTGTTATTATCTAGTGACAGTTAAACCCACATGTTCCATCTGCTGTGTGTATTTACGTGAGTGTGAAACTGTGGTCAACCACCACCTTGATGCTGCAGCTTCACTTTCATCTGAAGCACACTGACCGAGTCCAAATAAAAAATGAGTCTGACACTTTAAGTCTAACGTGGTTGTAAATGTCATATATGAGAAGACAGAAAATAACTGTGCCATTAAAGAAGTGTACTGGTGTTTATTCTTTCATGCAAACAGTATTTTCTCAGGGTCTTCTTATCAGCAATCCTGATTCATATTCAACATGTTCAACAAAAACGTCTTTTTGAGTGGACAGTAACGGTAGTAGCTCTCAAATGCTTTGAGCTGAATGCGATTACAATGCAAGCTAATATGTTAAAAATTACCATGCTAACATGCTAATGCTAATTAGGTCCAATATTTCACTGACTCTACGAAAAGATGAGTTTCACCATCTGGGGACTGAATGTCTGAACAGAATCTGAAGTAAACCCAGGACCTTCAAGAAAAGAGTTCTTGATTCTGATCGGCTGACAGCGGTACATTCTCTCTCTTTCTTTTACACAAACATGACTCAGGTACGTAGAGTTATAGAAGAGTTCACAAGTGGGAAGGGTTTGAAGGTGGCAGGTTTTTGACTTTTGTCACAGAAAAAAAAGAAAAAGCTTTGAATGAATTAAAAATCAGATCTTCTTTATGGGTTCTCACTGTGAATAAAACAGTTGTTTTAACCTTTCATTTGTATCCACCATTGGACTCAGAACAATATTTAGCATGTGTTTTCCTTTGTGAACATTACTTTGTCTACCAAACAAGGTGTTGGAAATAGATTGGTCACCTTGCTTTGCCACGAGCATTTTAAGTCACCAACGCCATTTTCGAGTTTCTACCTCCAACATAAAGAAATCTGAGACACTATTCCTGAACAAACCTAATTTAGTATAGCTGGTTATTAATGGGTTAATGTTGGTACAACACTAACAATGAGTTTCCCCTGCTGTACAATGACCACACTGCATGAAAAGAAGACATTCCATCATCTTTAATAAAAATGTGAACTGCTGTTACAGAGAGGCAGACATGTTTTGTATTTTTGTTGATATAAAAACATTCAGTGAAATATTACAGTTGAAAAGTTCATGTTACCATCACAAATATTTGTATTATAGGTCGATATTTTATGTAGATATTAGCAGGAAGTGAAGCTCTGAGCTGCACGTGCTGATTGCTTGCCCAGCACATGATGTGGGTTTTAAAGACAATTTTAATCTCGGGTCCTTTTGTAACAGTGACGGTGTTCACACAAACATTATGGGCTCACAGACTTTACGTATGACAGGTGCTCTATAAATAACGCTGAGATGAGTTGCGGCTCGTGGGTCAGGGTTAGAGAAGACGTGGTCTCAGATGTGAATATTAAATATAGAAAGACACTGAAACAAACTGTGCACAGCATGATTTGACTTGTGATATCTTCATGTCCTTATACAGAAGAAGAATGAACATCTGTTGAACATTCACCAACATGTGAATTAAATATATGAAACATGTCAAACAGGAAGTGCTGCCATTTTCTTTGATCTGCTCATGTCAAAACATTTCTATGGATTGGATTCTTTAAGCTGAATAAAAATGTTTTCATTGGTTTGCACAACATGCACTGAATATAAGTGGATCATCATTACATATAATGAACAAGGTGCACTATAACACATGGAAGACAGCAGCTGAGTAGCTGAATGAAGCATTATGGGATGCTCTTCATTTCTGGCAACCAAACAAGACTGTCAAGAAAATGTCTGTTTTTGTTGTTCATCCCGTCGTATCCTTTATTTCAGTAGCTCCATCTCGATTTGAGTGCACGAGGTGCTGTTGTTTACTGTGGGTTTACCTCGAGTTTCCCACAGTGGAGCCGTCCCAGCAGCACCAGCAGCAAAGCCATCATTACTACAGGGAGAACATTTCTGAAGATGATGAACGGAAGATCTGAGGACGCACGACTCTCTTGGTGTGACTCTGCAAAGAAGACAGAAATAGAAATAATGCACGCCTTCTCGTGGTGTAAAGTTCGAGCACAATTCTCTTGAATCATTGTCTCTATGAGACCACAGATTCACCGGGTAACCTACAAAGGGATGAAGAGGATGTGAGCCAAAAATTAGCCATCCGCTAACTTGGGTACATGAATGAATGAATATTTGTGACCTGCTCCATAATTTTGAGTCACTTTAACCCAGAAACACATATTGAGTTTTCTGCATGGCTGTAAAGAGGAAAGTCTCAGCTTCATGGCAATACAAAAAATATTTTTCTAATCCAGATATTCTACGAGATACAGTCTTCCAAATGTCGACTGTCACCAAACCTTGTTATTGAGAAAAAGAGCACTAAAGACAACCATCAAAATTCCGCCATTTTCCAAATGAATTGAAATACATTTATAAAAAATCAATTCAATTTAAAGTGCTTTACATAAAACATTCAAAGCATTGTGACAAAGTGCACAGAAACACATAAAAGGACTTAAATACAATTAGAAAAAATTATCATTAAGGAGCCCAGATTATCGAAAATAAAAACAAGCTAAAATAGAATAAGACAGGTAATAAAAGTTACAGTGCAAGAAATGAATAAATAATTTGATAACACGTCCAATCATTAAAAACAATTACCGTATTGGCCCGAATATAAGACGGCCTTTTCCCCAATCAAAATAGGTCCGAAAAAGTCGGGTCGTCTTATATTCGGGGTCTAGTATTCAGAGCGCAGCTCTAATTATTCGCTTGTCCCTTTAAATGTCAATACACATTGCGGCCCCAGATGGCGCCAAAAATCTGTCAAGCGAGTGTTCCAGGAAAAAGCAGTCCAGCGTCCTTAGCAACCAGCCTTTGATGATTTTTAAGGAGTGGGAATAATAATGTAGAAGAGTATTTAATCAGACTATTTTAAACAATTTTGTACAATGTAATCAATCTAGTGTTATTTAATTAGCACATCTGAGCCTTGTATTTCCGCCACACTGATGTCATGGTCTCTGTTGTGGGAAGCGCCTGGATGTCAGACCTTTTGAAACCGGGGATGCGCCCAGGGAGTGGCATGGCGGGGACGTCAGCAAAATTTACCATGAACTGCTTCAGTCTTTGGATGTCCTGAACAGTCAGCAGCCTCCTGCTCAAAACACGCCCACCAGACCTTTTCATCCTTGGTGCCAATCCATATTGTTTATAACATTTTATAAGTTGGTGAGCTTGTTTTGAGATATTCTGGAAAAAATAACCATTATGCAAATTAGATAAAGTATGTCATATGCTTATCATTATAGTTTTTAAAAGAGCTTACAGACACACACACACTCACTCACTCACACACACAGACTCACTCACACACAGACATTATAAGGCACCGATAGCAAGTTAGTTTCTTATTAGGCCTCCTTGCGTTTACAAACAGAAAACAAGCATCATGTAGCCAAGCAAGCTGAGTAGGCTAGATTACTTACCATTCATCATTTCTCTGATTTGGTCCCGTCTTCTCACCATCTCCTCCGGCGTGAAGAGCTTGTAACAAGGGCTGCTGTTGTGGTGTTTGCAGCTACACCTCCCTAGCTATTTCGATTTCCTTTACACTATCTTCATTTATGTTATTAAAATCGGAGACATTGTAAGCTACCATCGGGTCCTCCTCGCCTCCGTCACACTCGCTTTCTTCGATCGGAGCCAGCCGGTGTCGGCGGGGTGAAGGCCGAGTCAGACTCGGAGGTCAAGCCGCCGGTGTCATTCTCTCTCTCAGCTGCCGGGGCTTGAAATAGTCCGTAATAAGGTCGGTTCAGTCGTCGTCTGATGTGGCATTTCTTCAAGGAATTGAATTTAAAAGTCGAGCAAAGTCTTTGCGCGAATTCATTTTGTCTAGGCTGTCAATCTGTCTCCGTGTCCGTCTAAACAGATGTCGCTCTGACAGATAACACACAAAGACGCTAGCCGGCGTTTTGAAATCTGACACCTGTTTCGTTTCATTAATGCTAGCGATATTTATCATTTGAATTTTACATTAATTTTGACATTGTATTAAAGCTGAGACTTTATTTAATTAGAAACATATAAAAACTGAAAACAGCCCAAAATCGTATTTTCTTGTAAAAACTTGTTTTTACACACACTGGCCGCTGCGACATCCGACTCATTTTAATGGAACGCGTCACATTTTATTTCCATGTCAGGTCATTTATGAGACCCATCCCACATGGAAGTACATTTACATCCGTCTGTATGTTGATTAATGTACACTGTCCTTTTCAAATCAATCAATATACTGTTTCAACACAGTTATATCACATGTATTTTTAAATTTGATTTGGTAACACTGATGTGTCTCACCTTGGACAGCCATCAGACTCTTGGCTGATTCTCTTCCTCCAGAGATACACTTGTAGAATCCTTCATCATGTTTGGAAACACTGGGGATTCTCATGTTTCCTGTAGAGCTTCTTCTGATAAGGCGGCCGTCTTTGTAGAAATCAGCTGAGAGATTGGTAGAGGTCGTCTTGCGTCTGCAGCGCAGAGTCACAGTCTCTCCCTCCACCACACTGATGGGACTCTCCAGGATCACAGGATCAGCTGAACAACATGGGGTTCATATTTTATATCACACAAAGATGAGTGCATGTAAAGATCTCGTCTTTATGCAAACTTACCAGTAACATTGATGTGGATGATGTCGCTTCTGTTCCTAGCTCCGGACTCACACCAGTATTGCCCACTGTCCTCTGGAAAAATATTAGGAATAGTGCAGGATGACCTTTTTGATGTCACTGTAGTGTTACATTTGAGTAATTCCCCTTTGGACCGATGTACAATTTTCAATCCAGTCGAGTCATGAGAGCCCTCACAATGGAAGATCAGAGACTCGTATTCAAAGAACTGCAGTCTGTTTGGTTCAAGACGGAGAATCAGTGAATCTGAAACAAACCAAAGAAAGACATGTTCTCTTATGTCATACAAAATACCAAAATTTGAACAATAACTTTGAGAAACTTAACGGTACATACCCACATCTTGAACATGTGCACCCAACAGGAATAACACACAGATCACTGGAAAGAAAAAGAGTTGTATGTTAGATCTCATAAAAACAGGTAC